AAGTTGCGATGGCAAAGGAACATAGTGTTAAAGGCGGACTCTTGTTACACGTTGAAAGGTAAAACCGTATTACTCAAGTAGAAAGTATTCATGATACATACAAACCGTCCTGAACATTTGCAGGAGTAAGCTTGTTCACAAGTAAAATTAAAAGCATATGAGTTACACAATCACATCACAGATGAACACTGCAATTTGAAATAATTATGGGAATTTAGCAGTAAAGTTCAGTCTGAAGAGGAAAATGTATTTTAGAATAACACAGCAATGACACTAGGACAAGCAATTTAATTATGTTAACCTTTTTTAGTAGTTCATTACACTGAGCAGAGCATGTATTACACTGATTTATCAAGTAAGGAGTCGCTACACTGAGCACACTCTGAGCCTTTTAAGTTCTTAATACAGGCTTACCAATGACAATTAACTGTTGGGGAAAGCAGCACTTAACACTTCTAGCACTACATGTTAAACCAAACAATAACCAAATTTCTGTAAACTCAGCATTGTAATCCTTATAGAGAATAAACTTTGAATTTGAATGTTCACTGTTGTACAAGCCAATCGCCACAAAGTTACTATGTGTATAGTAACCTCTGGCATGTCCCACTCAAAATGTCAGCACTGCAATGCTCGTCAAATTGTTCTCAAGCCACTACAGGAAACACTGGTATGCCAGCAGCACTGCAGAACGTATACAGACATGCTGGGCCCTAGGACAGCTATAACTGCAGGCTGCTTAGCTTGGTCTGGCTAGCTTTTAGTGCTGACCTCAAGCTGCTGACTGTGGCTCGCCAAGCCGCGCCAACCACCCGGACACCTGCTTGCAGCAGGGCAGGCAGGCAAACAGGAGACACTCGCAAGATGTGCGGAGTGCGGCACAGAGGACACGGGGCACTCAGCACCATGTGGTATGGCACAAAACCGCTCTTGTCCACAAGCAAATAGAGGCGAACGGCTGAGTTCCAAATCGGAGGAAAGAAGAAGGGACAAGGTAAGGATATTCACCCGCTAGCCACAGGCAATATGGGTGTAGTGGCCTGCACGGTCGCCAGTGACAATTTTCAAGGTCTTTCACTGGGGCCCACAGTCGTCTCGAGAGTTACCAACCCTGTACTTACTTGTTAATTCTACAAACCCGCCAGCACTTATACACATCTAGCACGGGTCTTGGAATGACCAGACAAATTTTCACTACATAAGAACTATTTTCTCACAACACCGAAGAGTACGACCCGGAACACTGATAGACGTTCACAAGGCATTCTGGGATTCGAACTGATTGTAGCCTTGGCCTCAACTGGCTGGCTTGGTGCGACTGTTTGGCATGGTATCAGCAAAACGCCGCCCTTATCCCTTATGGAGATAATGGCGACGAGTTAAGGGATACCGGTGAAATAGGAAAGTCGAGGAAGGGACATTCACCTCCACTAGACACATGCAGTATGGGTGTGTAAGTGTGCATGCGGGGTCTTATAGTGCCTTTTCAAGGTCACCCAGCAGGCCGACATTCCTCCCTCATTTTTAAGCTACGTAGGGTACTGATGGTAGCACATGTCCTAAGTCAGGTAATCCACTCATGCAAATAGTTACAACAAATCTGAAGAGCACTGCGGAACTCACATATTCGAGTTACCAGTGGGGCAGCAAAATACACCTCTACACTGCCGTCGTGAATAGAGGCGCGCGGCTGAGTTTAAAGGAGGAGAGTTGGGGATACAGGAGATACACCCCAGGGACTGAGCACGCACATTTCGCCTTTCTTCACATAGTCTCATATGGCGCGGAAAGTTCTCAGGCAGGTGATGCAGTGCTCGCCCAAGGTCACAGGTCTGAGGCAGACTTTCTCAAGAGTTACCAAACACTGCTATGCTGTACAGAGACAGATTGTTACTCACTCCAAACTTGCAGAAACTTCTAGCACACGTGTCTGGAGTGAAGACGAATTTTCAGTGTGTCTCACATGGGTTACCAAACTCACGTAGGACTGCACATTCGTCGTTATTCCTCAGTGTTTAAGCGATGTGTTGTGAGCATTTTGAGAGGCACGAGTGCAGTGGACTAGCTAAAATTCGCCTCCTCATGGACCCTTTTATGTACCTTTGGAATTCTTTTGACTTACCGCCACAGGATGGTATTTATGGGGTGCATAAAGTATTAAACTTAGTAGTGTTGTGTTGTGTGTGTGTGTGTGTGTGTGGTGTGTGTGTGTGTGTGTGTGTGTGTGATGTGTGTTGTGTGTGTGGTGTGTGTGTGTGTGTGTGTAGTGTGTGGTGTGTGTGACTCAACATTCAATATTTGCACCAATAATCTTTAATGTATGTGATCGGGTGTGGAAGTGTGAAAATGCTCATTACTCTATAATTTGTTCTTGGATTGTAGCCAAAGTATAAACGTAAAGATAATCATTCTACTAGAATTCATTACCTTTGTAACGTGTGAGCTCATTACCTGTGTCCTAGTTAAGCTATCAAAACTTTGGGGGCCCAGTACCTGGACCCATTACGTACTCGTAATCTGTAAATACTTTGTAACTTGTCATGATTGTGACCAGACCTTACCTGGGAGTTCATTACCTTTGTAAATTGTGTATTCATTTACTTTGTAAATTAATGAGTTCATTACCTTTGTAATTGTGAGTTCATTACCTCTGTACTTGCTAAGCTAATCTAAACTTGGAGTCCAGTCCTGGACCAATTATGTACCTCTGTAATCTTTTGACTACCGCCCACAGGTTGGGTATGGGGTGCATAATAAACATAGTAAAATCTTAACCACTGTAAGTTGATAGAGGCGAAAGGCTGAGGTCAAATGAAAGGCAGAGGGGAAGCAGTGGCCTGTGAGGGCCTTTGCAAAAAGGAAAACTATTTCCAGTGTTTTTGACTAGGTATATCCTTAGTCACAGCTCGCACATAGAGTTCTCACAACACTGAAGCTGTCTTCCAAACAGAGGGAGTTTAATGATGACTTACAGTCGGGGGGGAGAAAGAAATGGGTAGGCCTGTGAATTAGTAGGTCCAGATCCCCAGCACACTCTACGCCCTCATAACCACTCAGCGGACTGTCTCCAGCTGTAGTATGACCATACACCCAGTCTTTCCTCCAGCAGTAGTGACCATACACCCTGCTGTGCCTCCAGCAAGTAGTGACATACACCCAGCTGCTGCTCCAGCAGTACGTGACCATACACCAGCTGTCCTCCAGGCAGTAGTGGCCATACCACCAGCTGCTCCTCCAGCAGTAGTGACCAACACCCAGCTGCTCCTCCAGCAGTAGTGACCATACTCCCAGCTGCTGCTCCAGCAGTAGTGACCATACACCCAGCTGCTGTTTCTGCAGTAGTGACCATCACCCCGCTGCTCCTCCAGGCAGTAGTGCCATACACCCAGCTGCTCTCAGCAGTAGTGACCATCAACCCTGCTGCTGCTCAGCAGTAGTGACATTACACCCAGCTGCTCTCTGCGTAGTGGACCATACACCCAGCTTGCTTCCTCCTGATAGTAGTGACCATACACCCAGTGCTCCTCAGCATAGTGACCATACACCAGCTGGGTGCTCCCAGCAGTAGTGACCATACACCCAGCTGGTGCTCAGCAGTAGTGACCAGACACCCAGCTGGTGCTCCAGCAGTAGTGATCATACAACCAGGCTGCTCCTCCAGCAAGTAGTGACCATACACCCTGCTGCTCCTCCAAGCAGATAGGACCATAACCAAAGCTGCTCCAGCAGATAGGACCATAACCCAGGCTGCTGCTCCAGCAGGTAGTGACCATACACCCAGCTGCCCCCAGCAGTAGTGACCATACACCCAGCTGCTTCCAGCAGTAGTGACTACACCCAGGTGATCCTCCTGCGTGTGACCATTTCACCCAGCTTACTCTCCAGCAGTAGTGACCATCACCAGCTGCTCCTCCAGCGTAGTGACCATACACCCAGTTGCTCTCCAGCAGTAGTGGACCATACACCCAGCTGCTCCTCCAGCAGTAGTGACCATTTCACCCAAGCTGTCCTCCCGCAGTAGTGACCTTACACCAGTGCCTCCTCCAGCAGTATTGACATACACCCAGCTGCTGCTTCCAGCAGTAGTGTCCATACACCCAGATGCTCCTCTGAAGTAGTGGAACCATACACCCAGCTGCTGCTCCAGCGTAGTGACCATACACCAAGCTGCTCCTCCAGCAGTAGTGACCATACTCCAGCTGCCTCCTCGCAGTAGTGGACCATACACCCAGCTTGCTGTCTGCAGTAGTGACCATACACCCAGCTGCTCCTCCAGCAGTTGGAGACCTTACACCCAGCTGCTGATCCAGCAGTAGTGACCATACACCCAGCTGCTCCTCAGCAGTAGTGACCATACCCCAGTGCTGCTCCAGCAGTAGTGAACCATACACCCAGGCTAGCTGCTCCTCCAGCAGTAGTGACCATACACCCAGCTGCTGCTCCAGCAGTAGTGACCATACACCCAGCTGCTCCTCCAGCAGTAGTGACCATACACCCAGCTGCTGCTCCAGCAGTAGTGACCATACACCAGCTGCTGCTCCAGCAGTAGTGACCATACACCCAGCTGCTGCTCCAGCAGTAGTGACCATACATCCCAGCTGCTCCTCCAGCAGTAGTGACCATACACCCAGCTGCTGCTCCAGCAGTAGTGACCATACACCCAGCTGCTCCTCCAGCAGTAGTGACCATACACCCAGCTGCTGCTCCAGCAGTAGTGACCATACACCCAGCTGCTGCTCCAGCAGTAGTGACCATACACCCAGCTGCTCCTCCAGCAGTAGTGACCATACACCCAGCTGCTCCTCCAGCAGTAGTGACCATACACCCAGCTGCTCCTCCAGCAGTAGTGACCATACACCCAGCTGCTGCTCCAGCAGTAGTGACCATACACCAGCTGCTGCTCCAGCAGTAGTGACCATACACCCAGCTGCTCCTCCAGCAGTAGTGACCATACACCCAGCTGCTCCTCCAGCAGTAGTGACCATACACCCAGCTGCTCCTCCAGCAGTAGTGACCATACACCCAGCTGCTGCTCCAGCAGTAGTGACCATACACCCAGCTGCTCCTCCAGCAGTAGTGACCATACACCCAGCTGCTGGTCGCCATGTTAGAAGGAACATCAACAATCTTACAATAATAACAACTGGACTTGGGTGTAAGTTATTAATGTATTATACAACATTGTAGCGGCATTATGATAACTCGTAGACGTAGTCACATATAGTCATCTAACATATTGTGGCAGGGTGGGTTTAGCGCTTAGTTTTGATTATAATAGTAATAAGTATGTAGTTTTTGGTGGTTTTGTCCACCCTGTGACTATTGTGTCCACCCTGTGACTGTTGTGTCCACCCTGTGACTATTATGTCCTCCCTGTGACTGTTATGACCACCCTGTGACTTGTGTCCACCCTGTGACTTGTGTCCATCCTGTGACTTGTGTCCACCCTGTGACTTGTGTCCACCCTGTGACTATTATGTCCTCCCTGTGACTGTTATGACCACCCTGTGACTTGTGTCCACCCTGTGACTGTTGTGTCCACCCTGTGACTGTTATGTCCTCCCTGTGACTGTTATGACGACCCTGTGACTTGTGTCCACCCTGTGACTTGTGTCCACCCTGTGACTTGTGTCCACCCTGTGACTGTTGTGTCCACCCTGTGACTATTATGTCCTCCCTGTGACTGTTATGACCACAATTATTGGGAGCGCTTGAGGTTCCTAAACCTGTATTCCCTGGAACGCAGGAGGGAGAGATACATGATTATATACACCTGGAAAATCCTAGAGGGACTAGTACCGAACTTGCACACGAGAATCACTCACTACGAAAGCAAAAGACTTGGCAGACGATGCACCATCCCCCCAATGAAAAGCAGGGGTGTCACTAGCACGTTAAGAGACCATACAATAAGTGTCAGGGGCCCGAGACTGTTCAACTGCCTCCCAGCACACATAAGGGGGATTACCAACAGACCCCTGGCAGTCTTCAAGCTGGCACTGGACAAGCACCTAAAGTCAGTTCCGGATCAGCCGGGCTGTGGCTCGTACGTTGGTTTGCGTGCAGCCAGCAGCAACAGCCTGGTTGATCAGGCTCTGATCCACCAGGAGGCCTGGTCACAGACCGGCCCGCGGGGGCGTTGACCCCCGGAACTCTCTCCAGGTAAACTCCAGGTAAACCCTGTGACTTGTGTCCACCCTGTGACTTGTGTCCACCCTGTGACTGTTGTGTCCACCCTGTGACTTGTGTCCACCCTGTGACTGTTGTGTCCACCCTGTGACTGTTGTGTCCACCCTTTGACTATTATGTCCTCCCTGTTACTGTTGTGTCCACCCTGACTAATATGTCCACCCTGCCTATTATGTCCACCCTAGGAATAATATGGTCACCCTGTGAATGTTGTGGTCACCCTGACTATTATGTCCACCCTATGACTTGTGTCCACCCTGTGAATGTTGTGTCCACCCTGACTATTATGTCCACCCTGACTATTATGTCCAACCTGACTATTATGTCCACACTGGGAATATTATGGTCAGCCTGTGACTGTTGCAGTAATAACACCAGGAGGCAGCTCTGACAAAAACTCATACACACACGAGCTTTTAAATCTCAGCACAAAATTCAATTTAAACCAGCAAATAATAGAGCCTACTAGACTGGAGAATTTACTAGACCTCATCTTCACTAACAATGATGATCTGATACGAAATGTCACCATATCAAAAACAATATATGTACTCAGATCACAACATAATCCAGGTTCAGACATGTATGCGCGGAGCTCCAGACCGACAAAATGAGATGAGTCATGAGGGAGCATTCACCAAATTCAACTTCAATAACAAGAACATAAAGTGGGACCAAGTAAACCAAGTCCTAAACAATATAAGCTGGGAAGATATACTAAGCAACACAGACCCCAACTTATGCCTAGAACAGATTAACTTGGTGGCACTCGATGCATGCTCAAGGCTTATTCCTTTAAGAAAAAGGAGGAGTAGATGTAAAATAGAAAGAGACAGGCGCTCCCTTCACAGGCGACGAAAAAGAATAACAGAGCGGCTAAAAGAGGCCAATATATCTGAAATGCGTAGGGAGTCACTGGTCAGAGAAATAGCAAACATCGAACTTAAGCTAAAGGAATCTTATAGGAGTCAGGAATCGCAGGAAGAAGTAAAAGCCATAAATGAAATCGAAAGAAACCCAAAGTATTTCTTTTCTTATGCCAAATCCAAGTCGAGAACAACGTCCAGTATTGGGCCCCTACTTAAACAAGATGGGTCCTACACAGATGACAGCAAGGAAATGAGTGAGCTACTCAAGTCCCAATATGGCTCACTTTTTAGCAAGCCACTAACCAGACTGAGAGTCGAAGATGAAAATGAATTTTTTATGAGAAAGCCACAGAATTTGGTTAACACAAGCCTGTCTGATGTTATCCTGACGCCAAATGACTTTGAACAGGCGATAAATGACATGCCCATGCACTCTGCCATAGGACCATAGCCCCACTCCACAAAGGGGGCAGTAAAGCAATAGCAAAGAACTACAGACCGATAGCACTAACATCCCATATCATAAAAATCTTTGAAAGGGTCCTAAGAAGCAAGATTGCCACCCATCTAGAAACCCATCAATTACACAACCCAGGGCAACATGGGTTTCAAGCAGGTCGCTCCTGTCTGTCTCAACTATTGGATCACTATGACAAGGTCCTAGATGCACTAGAAGACAAAAAGAATGCAGATGTAATACATACAGACTTTGCAAAAGCCTTCGACAAGTGTGACCATGGCATAATAGCACACAAAATGCATGCTAAAGGAATGACAGGAAAAGTTGGTAGATGGATCTATAATTTCCTCACAAACAGAACACAGAGTAATAGACAACAGAGTAAAGTCCAAGGCAGCTACGGTGAAAAGCTCTGTTCCACAAGGCACAGTACTCACTCCCATCTTGTTTCTCATCCTCATATCTGATATAGACAAGGATGTCAGCCACAGCACCTTGTCTTCATTTGCAGATGACACCCGAATCTGCATGACAGTGTCTTCCATTGCAGACACTGCAAGGCTCCAGGCGGACATAAACCAAATCTTTCAGTGGGCTGCAGAAAACAATGTGAAGTTCAACGATGAGAAATTTCAATTACTCTGATATGGTAAACATGAGGAAATTAAAACTTCATCAGAGTACAAAACAAATTCCGGCCACAAAATAGAGTGAAAAACCAACGTCAAAGACCTGGGAGTGATCATGTCGGAGGATCTCACCTTCAAGGACCATAACATTATATCAATCGCAGCTGCTAGAAAAATGACAGGATGGATAATGAGAACCTTCAAAACTAGGGATGCCAAGCCCATGATGACACTCTTCAGGTCGCTTGTTCTATCTAGGCTGGAATATTGCTGCACACTAACAGCACCTTTCAAGGCAGGTGAAATTGCTGACCTAGAAAATGTACAGAGAACCTTCACAGCGCACATAATGGAGATAAAACACCTCAATTACTGGGAGTGCTTAAAGTTCCTGAACCTGTATTCCCAGGAATGAAGCCAGGAGAGATGCATGATTATATACACGTGGAAAATCCTAGAGGGACTCGTACTGAACTTGCACATGAAAATCACTCACAATGAAAGCAAAAGACTCAGCTGTAACCTGAGATCCATATTTCGTTGTCCAAGTGATCCTTTATGTGGGTCTCTGTGAAAGCTGCGAACATTGCATTTGCCTCTGCAAGCAGTTCACGGATGAAAGGTATTTTGTTGTTCGTTGCTGGCTTTAGACCTTGTACATTTGCAAAGAAGAATGTCATTGGATTGGTGGTACTGAAAGACATTACAGAAATTGAGATGATTTTGATTGGTTTCACAATTTCACCTTAAAACTGAGTTCAAGGTAGCAGAAATTTTCGATTTTTACGAAAGTTCAAAAGTAAACAAATCATGCCAAGCATCCAATACACGTCAACTGGTGAGTCTGATATTCTTTCACAAGTGTGCTGATATTTATACCATTTCTACACTAATGCAGTAGTCTGCATAACAGTAAATCTTCTATTTTTTGTAAGAATAAAAATTCAAAGTGGAAAGCAAAAGAAATATAAGTGGGGCCTGGGGACGTGACTAACGAACATAGAACTTGTTGTTTTAGTGCCAGGAATGTCTGTCTTGTTTATTCTGGACCCTATTTGGAAATTGCGTGAAATTGACAAAATTGCCAATTTCTAACCACTTTATTGGATAGTTGAAATTGGTAAATGGGTGGTTTCTTGTGCTCATTCGATAGAAAAAATGGAGTTCTAGGAAAATAAACATGATTTTTGTCGACTAGTACACAGGAATTGGCCAAAAATAGGGCTCAAAGTGGGCGGAATCGCTGCTGCGTAAACATTGGCAAGGCTGCTAACTTCGCGAGAGCATAGTTCCGTGAGTTTTCCATCAAATTTCATACTTCTGGTGTCATTATGATCGGGAAAAGATTCTCTATCATTTCATAAGAAAAATAATTTTTTTTTTCCGAAAAATTTTCAACCCTGAGAGCAAGTTTAGGAGAGGGCCTCTCGACCCTGAAAGGGTTAACGTTCACAAAAAATGAAAGGAATCGGAGCATAAATAATGGAGTTCACTTCTCGGCAATTAGCCACCCCTTAGTGGTATTTTCGTATGGTTTTATGGTTGTATTCTTGTTTTTTTGGTCTCATTTGATAGAATGGAAGATATATCACAGAAATAGTTTTGATTGCTTTTACGATGAAAAGTATTTTGAAATTGAGCTCAACGAGGGAGAAATGCTCATTTGCTTGACTGTGTTCAAGAGTAAACAAATGATGTCATTGGGAGGCCAAGCCCATGATGACACTCTTCAGGTCACTTGTTCTATCTAGGCTGGAATATTGCTGCACACTAACAGCACCTTTCAAGGCAGGTGAAATTGCCGACCTAGAAAATGTACAGAGAACTTTCACGGCGCGCATAACGGAGATAAAACACCTCAATTACTGGGAGCGCTTGAGGTTCCTAAACCTGTATTCCCTGGAACGCAGGAGGGAGAGATACATGATTATATACACCTGGAAAATCCTAGAGGGACTAGTACCGAACTTGCACACGAAAATCACTCATTACGAAAGCAAAAGACTTG